GTCGCAATACTCGCAATACACACCCATGAGAGGAACATCTTGTTGGGGTGGTACCACCAAGGCCATCTGATGTGCATTACTCGGACTTCCGAAAGTAGGTCATAATATACACCCATGAGAGGAACATCTTGTAAGGACGGTACCACCAAGGCCATCTGATGTGCATTACTAGTACTTTTCGAAAATCCTGATTATTATTGAAGAAAAAAACAAAAGTTTCGTCGGGCACGTTAAGATCAAGGCATAAGCTCTGAGATTGAAAATATCTGAGTTATTATGTTATGTAAGATTTAATATTGTTGTAAGTGGGTGGAATGGAGGCTTTGTAAATGTACTAAGATGTTTGGTCATTTTTTTTTGTATGGAGGTTTTACCCTCAAAATTCTTATTAAAAATGGTACAAAATGATGAAGAGGGGTTCCAAGGCCGCTAATATATAAACAACGAAAGAGAAAAAAAAATTGCAATAAAAGAGTGTTGATATGTTCAATCACTGAATTTGCAATCTTTTGTGGAAGAAAAGGAATGTCCTAGAAAATAAATTTCTAATAGGCACGCCATATATGTAAAAGAGTGTAAGAAATAATTAATAATAAATTTGTGTGTGAGAAGATTGAAGAAGCAGGATCTCCCGTAAAGAAGAAATGAAGAAAAGTGGAAGGACGGGATCATAAAACTATAATAATTCCATACTTGATATTTTGATGGACATAAGAAAAGAAAATGTATATTATTTTCTATGGAGAGTTGGCATATACGTATTAAACTGAAAGGATGATTGAAAGCATGTATTAAAGCTGATGTTGGTAATTTGTGATAATATATTCGAAAGAGTAAATTACGTGCATAGTGATCTATAGGAGTTGACCAAAAAAATTCCAATTCTGAGGTAAAATTAGTGAAGTAGAAGTTTATTGTTTATGATTTTGTCAATATTTTTTTTGTAGACCATTGTTGAAGCATTATGTTGGATGTGGCTGTGGTGGTGAATGGTTGATAATTAATAAGTTCAAGTGAATGGTGATGATTAATTGTTTGTTGATGTGGTGGTTGATAAAAGCGTGTGAAGAAGGGAAAAAAGACATAATGGTTGTTGTTAAGGTCATCTTTGAGTCGGTTTTGAAGTGTGGGGTATTGGATGTAATTATGTTGCTGTTGATCACGTAATTGTAGTTGACCCAAGGTTGAATCATAAATAAAAAAAAATCTTGAACAATGCGTTTGGTGAAACCTGGACAGCGTGGTGGTCGATTTGAAGATATTTGATCATAGTGTGAGTATCTTGTTTTTGTGACGTGTTGATAAAAATAAATAGGGTGGATCCAGCAGTGATATATTTTTCATGCGCATGGCTCACACACCATCTTTTTTTGCTGGGTACTCTATCATGATTCTCATCCACCTGTTCAAGAAAAGTTGCTGCGTTTTATATTTGTTTATTACCCAAAAACCAACACGGATCTCTAATTCCTGCTTTACATATTTAACGACAATTTGTTTTGTGCTCATGAATTTAAGATCTTTTGATTTATTGTATTCTTTATATCATTCACCAGTGGAATCTTAGTTATAATCATATATTATTGTTTATGGTCAAGGTATCTTTTGGCAGCAATGGTAGAGTTTAACTTTCCCTATTTTTTTTTATCTTTCTCTATCTCTTCAATAAAAAAAACAACCCATCTCGTATATTTTTATATTTATTTACTGGCTTATTTTTATATAACAGTATGGTCGATGTTGTTCCGGTACAATCACTCTATAGCGGAGTTGATTTTTTTTCCAGGAATTTGATGAAGGTCAGAGCGATGTGGCGCATAGCAACTTTTAAACTATTCCTGTTGCTAATGTATTGCCTGTACAAACATCCCAGCGTCAAACATGACTGATAATAGTAAAAGACTCGAAGGTGATATAATGCTGCTCCTTCAATGAAATATTAAAAATAATAAGGACTAATAATATACCAGCGATCTGTTCTCAATTGAGTTGTAAGAAAGAGAATGGGCCAGTTCTGTTTCAGTCTGTTATAGATGCCATGGAAACTGAAATCGTTCAAAGCAGTCTTATTTTTGGTGTGAATTTTGATTATAAGGCAATGTGGATCAAGGACATTCAAAATTGTGCCAACAATCTTGAAATACGACTGGTAAATGCAAAAGATTGATGACAAGATAACTTCGGGCGAATAATACGCTACTAACACTATTTGCATAATATGGTTAGGATAACGCGAAGCCAACATGGAAGCGTATTGAAAACAAGCTCAATATCGAACGTCAAGACAACACATCAGCACCAGTAAAATCAAGATCAACTCCGGCACCAGTAGCATCCTCTTCCTCCTCATCCCCTTCTTCTTCCTCGTCCTCTACTTGTCCAACTTTAAAAACCAAGCTTTCGACCATTGACCGTGACAAGGTATTAAAAGTGTATGATGCATTGATACGAGATGAAAACACATGCTGGGTGCTGAAGGCAACCAAACGACAAGCCACACTCGAAAAAAAGACACTATGGTCAGTCAAAAGAAAAATGCGTGAATTCGTTGCCACTCTTACCTACGTCCAGTAAGTATTGTTCATGGGAAATAAAAAAAAAGAAAAAGAAAAAACGAAATGAGTCACTAATTCATCTTCAGTCCTACTTTATTATTTATTCTTGACATGAGTGATTTGAATTGGGTCAATTATTTCAATAAGGAAGAGCTGGAGGAACTCAAGAGTAGTGGCCAGCCTATCCTTCGATGCATACACGACGAACTCAAACCAAAGTTCGAGCAGATTGAAAATTTGGTAAGTCTGTGTATGTGAACGGCAACACCATATGTAAATTTCAATATTATTAACTTATTTCAGTTATCGTCGTGATAATATGTATATAGAAATCTGCTTTGGATGCTTATAATTTTAGACGACTCATTGATCATCATCCCATTGAACAACCTTTGCTTGCATGGCTTTCCCAGACGTTGATGCAAACGGCAACGTTTTTTACTCCTGGCGCGCGTACACCTACTCAAAATATGTTGGAAAGTGATAAACTATATTATCTGTGGAGCTTATTGAGTACGATTCACCGTAATTCGGGCATTGAAGCATTGGGGTGAGTGTAAAATTTAATTTGGATGAAGCTGGTCAAAAGCAAAGAATCTTTGGATATTCAGTGTTGACAAAATTTTCATTTTCATTTTATTATTTAAAGAAAGGAAAAAACAAGTACCTTTCATGCTAAAATCTTAAATTCAAAACGCAAACTATCTGCTGTTGATGAGATTGAACGTGAAAAGATTGGTAGAAGACTTGATACAATTTATAGTGGCAGGGGTATTGAATTGGGTGTATTAGAGGCAGGTCCTACGAAAGATAATACAAAAGAATTCGAAGAATTTGTTTTCAAGGATATGTTGAGCGAAATCGTGAGCCGTCGTCCTTCACTCTTACATAAGGCTCATGTCCTTGGTTACAACATAAATGGTATGTATGCAAAATAATAATAATAATAATAATAATAGTAGTTTTATGATAGAATCGACACAGGTAACAGAAACCCGTTGATGATACTTAAACCTGATCTATTTTAGGAGGTTAATAGCAAACCCCTTGACACTTTCGCCTAGCTATACCGTGTATACTAAGTTGTGTAGATGGAGATACCATTAATGACACTCCCATCCATGCTTACTACATGTTAGGAAGCACTTAAGATAGAGCTTCTTTATTGTACTATTATGTAGTTAACTATATGTAATGCTATTTTATGCGCCCAAGATTCGTTACATCTAGTTTAACTTTAATTATATTTTAATCTCGTTATTAGATGAGGTCACTACAACTGTTAAGCCAATATGTTCTTTATGTCCGATATATGTGCCTGATTGAGAGGCTATTTATGTTCTTATATGTTAAACGAATGGACCCACTTCCATGAGCTGCATGTGGTCTATTAATGATTAATAGAGTCTCCTGAGAGACCACCGTTTATGTTTTATATCTTTTAATTTTTTTTAAATTCTTTTTATTATTATTACCATTGTACGAAAAAGTACTTTGCGCTCTTTAGAGATAGCAAAGACAATAAAATCTTTTATAAACATTTTTAAAATTTATATACGTTTGCTGGATGGCGTTTGCTATTATCGAGTATACTTATATATAAATCGTAGAGCTATTTCATTGATGAGTGAGAACTGAGGGGGCCAAAAGTCTGCATACCAGCATTTATCTTTAATGATTTAGAGTTGACTCGTTCTATATTTATGTGTTACCTAGATACTTAAATGGATCCTGACTGTATGAAAAGACATACCATTAATTGAGATTCGTTATATCTACATTCCAATTACCGTAGGGAATTAAAATCCACCAGTCGAGTTATCTTTTCTACTTTACTTATTTTATGATGGACGCCTTTACTGAATTCGAACAAACACTTTCTTACAACTTCCATAACTACACTCATGCAAAAGACCTTATTCACTGGTTATCCAGTGTGGGTGAAGCAAACATCCAATATGCTCGAGTACATCGCGAACTCCAAGAGCGTTTAAATCAAATCACCCAGTCCGAGCCACAAGCAGGTGCTATTTACCTTAACTGGGCACACCCGTTCTGGAGGGCAAAGCGCCTCGCCTTTTTGAGCATCCTCCAATCACGACAAGTTGGAGGTCGTTCCCAGAACATGGAATATTCTAACATCAACTCCGACTACGTGCATATGCATAAAAAAGAATTTATATATTTCAAAAAAAAAACATATATAAAGAAGAAAAATATCCTAAACAATCAACTCTATCATACCACTTGAACTACTACAATGAACAACAACAACAACACCCAAAACAACACCAACATTACCATTGTAGCTCCATGGGCTCAAGAAACGATGACGGGCAATAGCTCGGACGGATGGGGACCAACCCCCACGCATATTCCAAGCAGAAACGAAGGCGGTTGGGCCTCGGAACCAAGCGTAGCTAGCTACGAAGACGATGCCATGGATATCGATGAACAATCAACCACGCATACATCACCATCGCCGCCACCACAAGACCAACGAAACCACCAACAAGACGTAGCGTTGGATACCTTGGACGCCATCATCGATGTGGACATAGAGGCGTTCACGACAGTAGCAACAGCTTATGCAAGCATCTCTACATTGCTGAGCTTGCGTACCCATCTACAACAGCAGCTTACCCAGTTGGCGGGTAATACAACCAGAATCATCCAACATGTACCAGTGCGGGCGCACCTGCAACGAAACCAAAATCAGCAGAGACAATTAACTCTTGCTATCGTTATTAGAGACACCTTCCCTTGGGTGCCCTGTGAACCTATACTGTGAAGAGTGCCGAAACGTCTTCCTAGGACACAACTGACGAGGATACGACGATCCGAGTTTTTGGAGACCTAATGGTTCTCACTTACAAATTATACCTTCTTATTATCATTATACATACATTATATATATATTAAGAGAAAATGTAGTAGAAAAGAAAAAAAAACATATAACATACAAACAATAAAAAAATATCATGTAAACCCAAACTTTTGTAAGCCTAAACGGCAATCTCCCAACTGTACTACAAACCCACATACACACACACACACACACACAGACTATATCAGTACCTGTTTATACATATCAAACCTTTTATTTTAATAAACTGCAATAGGTACAGAAATATAAATCGATCATAAACCACAATACAATCAAAAAAAAGAGAACATAAACAAACAAACACACACGATATACACAAAGATACACATCAAAACCCATTATCACACATAAACACACAAACAAAAGGATGGAGCGCCGACTCATACAGAGTGACTCTACGACTCGCACCTGATTCAACAACAATACTATGGAGCGCCGACACATACACAGAGCGACTCTACGAGCCACATACAACTTATCAAACCGATCGAACGGATGGAGCACCGAAACATACAGAGCGACTTTACGATCCAAACAACAATATCACATCAATCACATCAAATGGATAGAGCACCGACACATTTACAGCGTGACTTTACGATCCAAACAACATCACAAAAGAATTACAACAAAAACGAATGGATGGAGCCGCTGACGCATATACAGAGCGACTTTACGACCCATTATACAACAATTCAAACGATGTGGGACCATCTTTTTCTGGGACCGAGGAGGTGTGATACCCCGAGAACTATCCCTACAATAAAATCTGAATACAAGAAAGAGCTGCATAACAAACATCAAGCACATCACATCACACAACAACAAGAGCTCTACTACAGCAGCCTCGCAATTACTACAACATTCTGGCACTTTCCAATAAGGACACAGCGATCCAATAACTACGCAGCAACAACTCTACAAACTTCTGGCACCTTCCAAATTGCCGAGGAATAGCTAATAATAGCATTACTCCTAGACTTTCCAATTGATTCCACATCCATAACCATTGGATGCGAGTACTTTCCACAACCTTCGAGCATCATCTTTGATGTTCAATTATTATAGATGTATTGAATTATTTTGAAAGATATAAATACCCCCTCATTTTATATAAGTAAAGACATTGAATTTCTACCTCCCACTTTTGACTTAACTTTTCAAGTGTTGTTTTCAATCACTCAAGACCTAAACACGGCTTGTTTTATCTTACATATTATTTATTGCTCATAACTGAAGCTAAATAAACTCTTCTATTAAGACCAGACGTAACATACCTGCTCTTATTTCTCATTTACTTGGACAGACGTAACATTCCTGATCCTTATTCCTCATTCATTTTGGACAGACGTAACATCCCTGATCCTCATTTCTACTCACTGAGCTTAATCAAGACAACAGCTCCCTACTATTTACAACCTTGGATATAACCCATACACATTTCTACCTTCTTTTACACTCATATCACTTCACAACCCGTCTGTAATAAACGATATTATTACTGGTGCTCACTACAAACATACACATAAACCGTTACGCAACTACCTGGAATACCCCAAATTCACTGTAACAATAGTACAAGACTGATGAGAATATGTGCGCTAAAACAAATCAAATACAATAGGTGATGCTGTTCGTTTAATAGATGCAGATATTCCTAGTGGTCATATTGTAAGAATTCGACGAACAGATGAACTCGAGTACCCATCAGACAATGATGACTATGTTTTGAAGATGGTGTCATTGCTAGAACTAGCTTCGTACGCAAAAGCCATTATCGATGACACTTATTCTTTATGCTGTCAAACCTGAGTCCCGCCATCGGCAACTGGTAATCCAAGTCTACTTCCTCCATCATTTGCTCCCAATACTGATAACCAAGGTCAATCTTTAGGGATTAAACTTGAACTATTAAATATATTACATTTAATTGTTTAATATTTATCAATGACTTAATATTAATTTCTTATAAATATATATAATTTTCAGATTTTGAAATTTTTTTAGGATGAATATCAATTTAATATGTAAAACCTATTTACATTTGTTACTATCATATGGAGGAACAATTCTATTTATTTGTTGTAAATATAAATCAAAGCAGTTGATAGTTTATAAGGTGTAAGTTGTAAAAAAAACTTGCGCCGTGACTCTTTGTGGTTCTTTCTCTTAGAGAAAGGTTCTTGAATTTCAATAAAAAATAACATTTTTTGTCTTTGAAAAATTCAAAATAACTTTATACTTATTTTAATTATATATAATTATCAGTACTATAATGACCTAATTTTTATCTTATAAAATAATTTTACATACTTTTTTCTATAAAATTAAATTTTATTATATTATATGAATTAGATATCAAAATAGAAGATAAATAATAATTATATAGATATTTAATTTTGGTTTTTGCCTAAGGTTATAAGTTTTTCCTGATTGCTTTGTAAATAAGTTAAAAGAACGGTTTTTATTATAAATTTTCAAAATGGTATTTGATGAATATAATAGCTAACTAAATAAAGAAGAAGTTTTAAAATATAAAACATTATTACAGGAAGAGATAGATAAATTAATTATAAATGAATGGGGATTTATAAATGAAAATTAGAAGAAAAAACAAAATAATTATAAGCATCGAACAGAATTGAAATATATTAAAGAAATAGATGAAATTAAAAAAGAATTATTACAAAAGTTAGGATATACTTCTGTATTTTTCTTTTTAACCAAAATATATCCACATAAGAATTATCCTTCACTATATTTTGAAATTGAAAAAGGGTTATATTTAATATATCATCTTGTATCAGGTATTACATCTAGAGATATGAAACGAAATATACCATATACATCATTCTATAAATTTTATAAAGAATTTTGGATAACAAATTATGATAGTTTGAATAAATATATAGATATATGTCTAAAAAATATGTTTTCTAATATTAAAGAATTTATTCTGTATTAATAAAAAACCCTAAAAATTTTAAAAATATAACATTACTATTAGATAGTCATGATAGTACTATTGAATATGATAAGCCTGACATTTCT